AGTGTCAGTACCACCCTCCACTCAGTTCTGACTAGCTCCAGGACTGTTGTCTGTCTCACAAGATTCTGTTACGGTATTTATTCTGTATTTAGTCATTTAACAGATATTTACTCAGGGCCTCTGTGGGCCAGAGAGCTGTAGTAGGAAATATCACAGCCCCTGATCCCTTGGTCTTGCGACACTGGCACTGCTGGTAGGGAGACAGATGATAAACATCTGAGATGAGTGTTAGCTATTGCTGAGTAACCAACCACCCAACTCAGCAGATTAAGACAATCACATTTATTAGCTCACCTGCCTGCCAGCTGCCTGGGCAGCTCTGCCCATCTGAGCCCAGCTTGGCTGGTCTCGCTGGTCTCCCTCTTGTGTCCCACTGGCTGTGGCAGCCTGTTTTGCATGGTCTCAGCTTTGTTCCCTGTGGTCTTGTCCTCCAGCAGGACAGCCCAGGTGTGCTCTCATCGTTCTGGAAGGTTGTGGGGAAGGGGAGAGAGGATGCTTCAAGTGTTTTTTCAAGCCTCTCCTTGGACCAAGTTTGTTCCTGTCCAACTGGCCAAAGCCATCACATGGCCAAGCCTGTAGTCAGAGTAGGAGGGGCCTACAAGGTTACAAGGCACAGGGCAAAGGGCATGGGCACAGGGAGGCCACTTAACTGGAGCCATTAGCACCATCAGTATCGCCTAATGGGTCAATATGTCAGAAATAAAGTAGGGGAGTTGGATGGTTTGTTTTGGCAGATATAGGAGAGGGCTGAAGTTTTACGAAGGGCAGCTGGGGAAGCTTCAGTGAGAAGCTGGGAAGGACACTGCAGGCCGAAGGAACAGCAAATACGTCCCCTGAGGCAGGACGTGCCCACCTGTCGGTGGGATTTCCTCCCACTAAATCAGGAACGTGTTGTATTAGTCTGAGGGCGGGGTGGGGGGTGGGGCAGGGGAGGCCTTCTCAGGGGCTAATGCAGCACCTCATTCCCCAAAGTCCCCCTGGACAGGATGGACATCCCAGGCTCGCCACTTCCAGAGTCACATGCTTCACCCACCTTGAGGTCACAATGCACTTCAGGACGGGAAAATCTGTCCTTGGAGTGGCAGAAGGGTGCAGATGTTGGGGCACATGCTCATTTATGAGGCTGGCGTCCAGTTTCCCGAGAAGATGAGCCCAGGGCCTACCCAGGCCTCGGGTCCTCTTCTGGCTCCAGGGGAGGTGGCCAGTGCAGCCATACCTGGGCACATGGCCGACCCCTCCGCAGCTGATTGGAATAAGGTATAGGGTGGAGTCCGGTTGCCTGGTCCAAGTCCCCTCTGGGAAATGCATCGATCTGAAGTCCAGGCTGAAGTTCTGGTGTATGGAGGGGTCTGGGTGAACAGTGAAGGCTGGGCTGCAGGGGAACGTGGTGGCCCTCTGTCCTACCAGGCACCTGTGGGATCGCCTGTCAGGGCTCAGCTGCTTTAGAGAGCGTATCAGGCAGGGTTCCCCAGAGAAACAGAAGCCGCAGGATACATGTACACGTATAGAGAGAGACTTATTAGGAAGGATTGATTCACATGGTTATGGAGGCTGCCATCTGCCGTCTGCAAGCTGGAGGCCCAGGGGAGCCAGTCGTGCAGCTCAGTGCAAACCCAAAGGCCTGAGAACCGAGAGAGCTGATGTCCGAGGGCAGGAAATGGACGTCCCAGCTCAAGCAGAGATTGGGGCTACCCACACTGGGGAGGGCCATCTGCTTTTCTCAGTCCACTGATTCAGATCAGTGACTCTTTTTCGGAAACAGCCTCACGGAAACACCCAGAAATAATGTTTCACCGTTGATCTGGGCATCCCTTAGCCCAGTCAGGGGACACACAAAATTACTCATCACAGTGGGGTTTCTGATCTCTGCAGCCAAATGGTCCTGCACGACAGTGCTCAGACAGTGATTTTCTGGTACCGCCTCCACCAGGAGGGTTTTTTTTTTAAATAAATTAAATAAATTTATTTATTTTATTTTTGGCTGTGTTGGGTCTTCATTGCTGCGCACAAGCTTTCTCTAGTTGCGGTGAGCGGGGGCCACTCTTCGTTGCGGTGCGCGGGCTTCTCATTGCAGTCGCTTCTCTTGTTGCGGAGCATGGGCTCTAGCTGCACAGGCTTCAGTAGCTGTGGCTCGCGGATTCTAGAGTGCAGGCTCAGTAGTTGTGGCACATGAGTTTAGTTGCTCCACGGCATGTGGGATCTTCCCGGACCAGGGCTCGAACCCGCGTCCCCTGCATTGACAGACAGATTCTTAACCACTGCGTCACCAGGGAAGCCCACCAGGAGGATTTTAATCTTTGGGAATTTGATATTGGAAAAGTACTACTCAGTGTATTTTAATTAGCATTTGCATAATTTTTCATGAGGTCAACATTTTTGCATATGTTTATTAGTGGCATGCGGGATCTTAGTTCCCCGATCCGGGATCGAACCTGTGCCCCCTGCAGTGGAAGCGTGGAGTCTTAAGCACTGGACCACTACGGAAGTCCCCACTTACACTTCTTTTGTGAATTGGCCTCTATCTCGGGGCTCACTTTTAAAAATGGAAACAAGGTCAAATTAGCTTTAAAAATGTAAAGAATGTTTTCCCTTTCTCAAAGAATTACTATTTTTCAGGCACAGCTTTCTAGATTTATCTCAGTGAATCCTTGTGCCTTTTTCACAAGGAGCGATACTGTCAGTATTATCCCATTTTAAGGAGGAGAGAAACTGAGGCTTGGAGAGAGGCTCTGAGGCCACGGGCAGCTCCTAAAATGTTCGCTTTCTGACCTAGGGCTTGTGGACCTATTTCCAGTGTTCTGTTTGCCTGTTAATTTCATTTTCAGGATATTCTGAACAAAAAGCTAGCACTTTTACGCAACCAAAAGTCTCCATCCTTCTACAGTTTCTGCTTGGAAAGACTTCCCCCACGAAGGTTATAAGCACAGATTTCTATGTTTTCTTTTACTACTTTGAGGGCTTCTTCGATCCATCGGAGTCAATTTAGATGAAGGTGGGAGGAATGCTGAGCATACTTTTTTCCAGTAGAGGCTGTTTGGAACCGGACAACCCTGCCTGATTGTCACATGACACTGCCACACGCAGCCCTTGTCCTCATCCCAGTCTGCGGGCTGCAGAATTACTCAGGCACTGGAAGCCCGCCTCCCGCCCCTCAGCCCATCAGCCCCCCTGCGGCTGCAGTGACCCCCCAGTCTCCCGGGGGCTGGGTCCTGCGGTGAGTGGAAGGAATTCCGGTGAACTCTGCTCACTCAGCAGTCCGGGCCTGGGGAGATGGGCGGGGGCACCAGACTATGGAAAATCACATGTGGTTTTCAAGTTGTTGGAAACCAAGAAAATCATTCTGCCAGTTGTGCGGACAGCTAGACACTGTCTGGGAGACCCCAGGTCCCATGGCTCTGGGAACCACCCTCCTGGTGAGCCCGGGCAGACTTATCCCCCGGTGTTGTCCAAACTGTAGACAAGAGGGCGTTTCCAGGGCCCTCCCCTGAGAGGGAGGGGCAGAGGGACCGGATGGGCCTGGGTCCTTCTCGCTTGGTCCCTTGAGGCCAACTCAGGACTCCAGGAGACTGGGAGGGCTGGTGCCTGATCCCAGGGCCTGCTGTCCTGAGGCCCGGCTTCCAGAGCCTTCCAGTTACAACTCCGACCCCCACCTCACCGCACACACTCATTTGGGCCAGCTGGGCCGGGTCTGAGCTGCTGCCGTGGAGGCCGCGGGAGCCTTGGAGGAGCTCTGCCGCTACTGCTCCCAGCCCCAGTGTTCCGCGGCTGCCGCAGTTAGAAGTGGGACACACTGGTCCTTTGGGCAGGTGAGTTTCCCACCTCTGCCCAAGCTGAGGCACCAGGGTGGCTCCTGGCGATACTCGGGCCTCAGCAGGAGGAGCTGGTAGCCCCGCGGCCTGGTGGGCCGATGCCGGATGCTGTGTAAACCAGATGGAAAAGAGCATGCGGTCTGGCCTCATAGACACGCCATCACTGACATGCTGTGACCTGGACACATCACTTCTCCCTGGGCCCAAGTTTCCTTACTTGAAAACGGGGCAAGATGGCACATATACTCTACAAGCATAAAAAGCACCATCACTGCCCAGCCCACTGTCCACGTGCTGGGACCTGAGATGCACGCGACTGACTTGAGGAGTCTGAGCCCGGGAGACAGGGTCTCCCCCGCCGGGATCCCTCTTCCCTTTCTCCCACAGGGCAGGACTCCACTTCCCGGGGTTCGATGCCCCCCCCGTTCCCTCTGTTCCGGAGGTCCAACCACTCACATCCTGTTCCCTCTGGCCTGAACATCTTCAGAGGAAGGATACCTCCATGATTGCTGGGTCTCTGGGCCACGCTCAGGGCTGGACCTCGCGGAAAGCTCCGTGGAGACCTGCCCAGTGAACAAATGAGCCGCAGTCAGGGACACACACCCACAGACACGTGCTTAGATCGCTGGGGACCCAGAGTGAGGGGGGTGGTGCTGTGGCAGGATAGGGGCGGGCTGGGGGCTAGGAAGTGGAGGGTGAGGAGATCATGGACTCTCAGGCTACAGTGACATGGGATGAGGCAGTCTCCTGCCGACATGGCTGGCAGTCCTAGAAGGACGGCCTGGGGGCATCTTTTCAGACACTCAGGAAGCTGAGGTGTGGTGCCCCTGGGTGCAGAGACTCTGCTGAAACCTTTAGAATGGATGAGTTCCCTGCGAGTCCCAGAGCATGGCTCTTCCCATTAGGGAAGAGAGGCCACCCAGGGTTCGAGGCACCCTCCTCCGGGGACCCCCTCATTCCCTGGACGCGGAGAGTGAGTGCTCGGATGGGGCCACTCCATCATCTCTCCATCTCGTGCGGAGGTGTGGTCACTAGGTTTGTAGTGACCTCAGGGTTCCCACCCTGAGGTCTGGTGGGAGAGGGGAACGGATCAAGGTCACCTGGGGCCCACGCAGGGATGAGACTGACCCTCATGCCTCCCAAGGCTCCAGCCAGAGTTGCCTCGAGATCCAAACTGTCTGAGCTGCAAAGACAAGAGGCTAACCTTGCTTGACCAGGCCTGTCTGAATGGGAGACCCTTCCTAACAGGGGCGGGGCACTGCTAGTGGTCATGGAGCCATTCCCCCCCACCCCAACTTACAGCCTGAGAAAACCGAGTTATTCAAGGTCATAGTTTTAAGTGTGGCTTCTAGGATGGGCAGAAGGAAGCAGGAGAGCCCCTCCCCCTGCTGCTCCAGGTCCATCCTGGGCTCTTCTTTTCATGCAGGAAGCTGTCACATTGGAAAGCATTAACAAGGCAAGCCTGACCTACAGCCAAGCTTCGATTTCTCATCCCTGGGGGACTGACCCCACCATAGTGGGAAGAGGGTGGGTTCCATTTCCGTTCCACCTGCTCACCCCCTTCCCAACGTGGGAGCTTCTGGCTCCCCCCCCCACCCCCGCCCCGCTGAGGGCATTACTGACAGGGGCAAAGCCCCCATGTGACAGCTTTGCCTACATGTCCACATTCCCCCACCGCCATCGCCCCCCGCACCCCGCCCTTCGCTGCAGTCCGCAGGGCCTCTGCACTGCACCATTCCTCCCAGATGGGTCTCTGCAGACCTCTGCAACGCCCCTGCTGCTGACCCCAAGCACGGGCACCTCAGCCCCCAGCCAGGTGTCTCTCCTGGGGACCTCCCACCCTGGCAGGCAGCCCTCCTGGCATATGGTTCTTTCTCAATGGCCCTCAGAGGTAAGCTCTTGGCCCGTGAGCTAAACAGGACCGACCCCAGCCTGGGCAGAAGTGAGAGTGCAGGCCCCGCCCCCTCCTCTCCCCACCCTTGCATCTGTGGGCTCCACCAGCCTGACCCTCACAAGGCTGCAGGAAAACTCCACACACACACACACACACACACACACACACACACACACCCAGCCCATGTCAGGCTCCCCCAAGACCTCTGCTCCCCAACTCTGGAAGCAGCAAGGGTAGATCAACCAGGGTGAGATGTCGCCTTGTCTCTGCCTGTGAGCCTAGTCCTGCTGCAGCCCCTAGGGTAGGCCTCGCTCTGTAGGAGGGAAAGGCCCAGCCTTCTCTTAGGTAGCTGGAGGTGAGGGGACCCAGGACGTCCAGCAGACTCCCAGACTAGCTCAGGAGAGCCCTTGGACATGGGTACAGACACCCCACCCGCTGGCAGGAGGCCTGGATCCCAGAAGGGTGAAAGGCAGCCACAGGAGGCCGCAAGCTTCCCGCCTCTTGGCCTGCCTCTTCCCGGCCTGGGCTGTTGCCCTTGGGGAGTTTGGTTTAGATGACAGGTCCTGATGGGCCTAGGTCTGCGGGATTTCCTGAGTGCAGGTCTTAAAGCTAAGTGGAGTCCCAGCCCTGCCCACCGGGGGAAGCACTGCCCCCCTCCACCTGCCCAGACTCTTGGGTGGGAGGGGGCAGGGGGGCCCCCAACTCGCTGCCCACCCCACCCCAGAGCCCAGCTCCCCACAGGCCTCTGTTCATGTTTCTATTGGTGACTCACTGTGACTGAGGAGAAGCCTCTGTCTATTTCTTTCTAATTTTCTGAGGGCTTCTATTTTCCCTGGCAGAGGATGTTGAGCCCAAATCTGATCCACGTGTGAGCCAGCTGAACTCGGGAGCTGTTCCCAGGGAAGTGACGTTCGACAGCCGCCACCACCCCCCACCCCCAGCCTTGGGCCTCCCTATTTGACACACTCAACTGGGGGCAACAGAACAAATTCCAAGACAAAAGTTTCGAGAGCGATGATTCAGAGGCTCGCAGAGGACATTTATGGGTAAGAGCTTTCTTCATCCTACTGCTGCCAGGACTAGCCTGGGTACACACGGCAGGGCGAGGACAGCACAGGGACAAGGAGGCCCAACTGGGGGGGGGGGGCGTCCTCCGAGAGCCCAGGTGGGTCTTGGTCTCCTAAGGGAACTGACAAGAACTGGAAGCTGCTGGGTCGCGAGTGCTGAAATTGCGCTCGGCACAGCACGTGCAAAGTCCCTGTTTGGTCAGCGGCAGTGAGGCCACGGAGAGCGGTGAGGTTACTTGCTGTGATCAGATGGCCAGGAGGGCGGAGCTGGGATTTGCCTGTAGGGACCAGCTCTTGACATAGTCCCACTGCCTTTCTAAGTACAAACCAGTGAGCAGCGAATGAAGGGCCTTGAAAGAAAGTGGTGAGAGAAGGGAGAGCCCCCTGGGTCCTGCCCCCAGTCCCGGGCTGAGCCAGCAGCTCGCACGACGCTCCCTGGCTGCTGCCTGTTCATCATCTCAGGCTCTCCTGGGTTTTCCCAACTGGGCCAAACCCTCAGACAACGTTGGCTCAGGGCTGACTGCTGCTAAACTTGGCCCATGGGCTCCAGATGTGCTTTTTCTTGCTTCCTCATCCCATCAAGGAAGAACGTTCTGGGAGCTCTGGCCTTAGGTGTCATGCCCATTTGGGGCCAGCCAACATCTGCTCCTGGGGAGAGACTTACGGAAACACCAGGTACACATGGCATAACTCCCTAAGCCAACACCCATGGCAGACATTACTAATCGATCCTGGGATTCTCTGACTACCCAATCTACATGCCCCTGCTGCGTCTGGTCCATATGGTAGCTGGAGCTATGGTAAACACAGTTTTAAAAAACTAGGTTCTGGTAAGAGGAAGGAGAGGAACGTCTGTTTGTCCTGGTTGGGATCTCAGCTGTTCGGAAAGCAGTGTATCCCTAGAGGTGAAGAAATGTTCTTTGCAGGGAAATAGTAAAAGAAACCGTAGGGGAGGGAACCGACCATAAACATCTGTGGCTCCTATTCGGGTGGTGAGTGAACTGTTCCCGTGGTAGGTCCCAGCACCCAGGTTCGTTGGGTTGAAGGTACCCATCTTCTCTTGCCAGCTGGCCCATGTCCTCAGGGGTAGTGTCTGATCTCCTATGCCTTTGTGGCCCCTACATCTTCCACGCGGGGCTGGGCTCACACGCACCGCCCCTAAAATGTTCCCTTGATCTGACCTGGCTTCACCTGAGGCTGTACCATCTGCTAGAAGGGGGCCACATAAGCCAGCTGGCTGCCTCCCACCTCCGTGCCGGGCTCTTCATCTGGGATCCCTCCCTCTGTTGCTGGGAGTGCAGGGGAGGGCAAGAACCCCCTGAGCTTGTATGGAAATTGCTGTGTGAGTGCTGAGTCCCTCCACACCCCTGACAGCCCATGCCTATGAATGACACACACAGTTTAATACAACTTGAAAGGCATCTCGTCCATCCCTCCCTGCTCCATCTCTGACCCTCCCTCCAAACCTGACCTAGTATGTCAGTCCCTTGGGAGGGGAGGGGCAATCTTACATGGGGGCTCCTACCCCCAGCAGAGCAGTTAGCCTGCCTTGAGGGCGGTTTTGCACCTGTCCCCCTCACTAGAGGGTGAATTCCCAAAGTGTGGTCCCTCCCAGGGGGACCAGCACAGGGCCCGGCTCTCACGGACCTGGGAGGTTAGCTGGATGTCTGAATGAAGGCTGGTGACAGCTGGCAGAGCTGCCAGGCCAAGGCTCCAGAGGGAGGAAAGGATAGGTGGGGACACTGCTGCGGGTCCCGAGATGGGGAGGGTCCTCGAGGCCTGAGTTCGTGGCTTGGCTCTGCCATCAGGGGTCCCGCTCACCTCCAGCCGGTTCTGGGGCATCTCGCCTCCAGTTCCCATCCGGCTTGGGGGCGGTGTCGCAGACGGCGCGGGGCAGGGGCATCGGAGCGCTCCGATCCGCACCCTCTGGACCTCGCGTCCCCTCCGACGCTCCCTCCCTGCGGCCTTTCTTCCAAGGCGCGGGCCCCGGCCCGGGACACAGCCCGCAGTTCCCACTCCGGGAAGTGCCAAGCGCGCGCGGCGCCGGGACTGCTCGGCTCCCCCCGCAGCCCCTCCGTCCACGCCCGGCTCCTCCTCCCCTTCCTCCTCCTTCCCCGGGGGTGGGGGGAGCCGGCTCCGGAAGCCCCAGCACCCCCGCCCCGGCCGCCTCTGGCGCTTTGGAGAAGGCGGTCCGCGCGGGAGCGCGCCACGCGGGACCTGAGCTCCCAGCCGCCGCCACCGCCTCGGAACCCCCAGACCATCCCTGAGCCCACACCGACCCCTAAGCCACTGCCCGTCCCGGAGCCCTCAGCGCCCCACCCCGGAGTCCCCTGCCCACCCCGGAGCCCCCCCCCACGCCCCTCCCCGGAGCCCCCGCCCGCCCCTCCCCGGAGGCCCCCCCTCCGCCCCCCGTGCGGGCCGCGACCATGGCGGTCCTGCGCGGGGCGCCCCTGCTCGGCTGCCTCCTGGCGCTGCTGGCACTGTGCCCCGGGGGGCGCCCGCAGACTGTGCTGACCGACGACGAGATCGAGGAGTTCCTCGAGGGCTTCCTGTCGGAGCTGGAGTCCGAGCCCCGGGAGGACGACGTGGAGGCCCCACCACCCCCTGAACCCACCCTTCCCGTCCGCAAAGCCCAGACAGGGGGCAAGCCGGGGGCGCGTCCGGGGGTGGCCGAAGAGGGTAAGAGCACCGGGTAGGGGTGGCCCTCGGTGTGATGGGGGGCCTCGGGGAGACCTGCACCTCAGGCTTGAATGGCGGGCCTCGGTGGTGTCTGGCCGAGGTCCAGTCTGCCCAGCGTGAGGAATGGCTCTGTAAGGCACAAGAGAGCCCAGATATCTGGCGGGACATTGTGCCAGGCAGAGGTCAGTGCTGGCTTGGAGCCCTTTGGGTTTGGAGATGCATCCAGCAGGTCCACTGCCCAGTGGAACTGGGTCCTCCCAATCCGTCATGCACAGCCCCAAACCCCCAGAGGGACTAGACATGAACTAACTGGGGACTTTGCTGCCCCTTGCCCAGGTCAGTTTGAACGGGAACGGCCCTGCCGTCCTAATGGGGCCACTCAGTGTGCTTGTGGCACACGCTGGCCGTGCCCACACCACTGCCAGAGTCCCAGCCTGGGACACCAGCCTTTTACCTGTGCTGCCTGGCCTCCTACTCCAGGAGCACAGAGCCGGGGGAGGGCCTTGCAGAAGACCCTGGTCTCCACAAGGCTCCCAGAGGCACTGGGCAGTAGTCCTGGGTTATTGTGAAAATTAAACGAGGTGATGCATCGCCAAAGCATGTAGCCTAGTGCCTCTTATATAATCAGCTGTCAATAAATCTTAGCTGTTTACTGTGACCTTCCGGAGGGTGGGCAGGGGTCTTGCTGATCTCTCTCCCAGGAGACTCCAGGGCACCGTCCATCATTCCTGAGGTCAGCAGCTCCTCCCCTTCATCCCGCTCTAGATCTTTCCTGGCTCCTCCCTGGGACCCATCGCAGCCTCCCCCGCCATTCCGGTCGAGATTGCTGTCCCGGCCTCTTGCACGCTGCTGTGGCAGCTCTGTTTCTCCTGACTGTCTGCGTTTTGTAGATTTTCCAGTATTTCGGTCATGTGGCCCCCACTCCTCCATTACATTTTCAACAGCATTTGCTCAGGGGCCTGGAGGATTCCTATAGGCAGCCCTAGGCCCTGCCCCTGCTTCCTCCCTCCCCCAGACTCCGAGATGGGCGAGCAGCTGCAGTGCCCACCTATCCTATCTGTCCTCTGTGTGGCCTCAGGACCCCCTATGGTTATGGCTTCCAACCCACCCCAGACTCCTTACCCCTGGATAGGGGATAGCCCATGAGTGTCACTCTTCTTTGAAGCTTTTCTAGCTTCAGAGAGGCCCCGGGCCCATGCCCTTTACTTTGTGTGGCAGTTGGCAGGGAGGAGACTGCCTCCCCCTTTAGACTGGGCAGTCTCCCCAGGCCTGGATGGCTTAGTCACCTCTCTGCCCCTTCTGTGCCCAGCACAGAATAGTGGGCCCTGACTGGCCAAGGGGCCGTACGGTGAAAGAGGGGATTGTGAGGTGCTCCTCTGGAGGTTTTGGGAGATGGGAGGACGAGGGCCTACCCCCTGGGAAGCTGAGCTACCCAGGCCAAGGTGTGGTGGTGACAGAAAGCCAGTCCCAGCTCTGCCATGACTGCAAGTGGCTTCACCTCTCAGTTTCCCCCATCTGGGAAATGCAGGGCTAACAGCAGCCCCTCTGCCCAGGTTGTAGGCACCCTGCCGGGGGTGGGGGGGCACATGGGGCATAGAGGGGGTTCTTCATTGATTTTACCTGAGTCTGCATCTTGAACAGCACCTCCAGGAAAAGCCAAAGACAAAGGGAAGAAAGGAAAGAAGGACAAAGGCCCCAAGGCGACCAAGCAGCCCCCGGAGGTGCCCTCCAGGCCTCCCAAGAAGCCCAAGGAGAAGCCACCCAAGGCCACCAAGAAGCCCAAGGAGAAACCACCCAAGGCCACCAAGAAGCCCAAGGAAAAGCCACCCAAGGCCACCAAGAAGCCCAAGGAGAAGCCACCCAAGGCCAACAAGAGGCCTCTGGCTGGGAAGAAGGCCCCCATCCCAACCCCCTCCGAAAGCCCGAAGTGGCCACTGCCCCCAGTCGCCAGCCCCGGCCTCGAGGAGCTGCCCCAGGAGGGAGGTGTGTGCTGGCTCTTCTGAGACTGTGGGGCTCTGACCTGCTGGGCTGCAGGGGGAGGGGGCTGAGGGCGGGTCCCTGAGGCCCTGCCTCTCGCAGACCCTCAGAGCCCCCAGTCCGGGTGGGCGCTGCGGCCTCACTGTTGTCCCTCCCTCGGTGCCGCTCCTCCCCTGGGGAGGACGTGCTTGGCAGCCTCGTGGTGGGGGGCTTGCTCTCCACCGTCCTGGGATCCGTCCCCTGGGCCCCATCCAGAGCCACCTGCCCACAGCGTCACTGGGCTCTGAGCCTGGAGGGTGCCCGCCTGCGGGGGCAGCTTTGCGGCAGGTCCTCCCAGACAGCAGGGCCTGGGCTCCCCAGAAAGCCGTCCAGCTCTCTGGCCCTCCGGAAATGCCAGCAGGGTGCTTAGGGCTAGAGCAGCCCGGGCCTCCCGGGAGTGAGCTGTTCAGGGGGTGTCGGCAGGGCCCGGGTCTCGTGGAGGCTCACGGTGCAGCCAGTGGTCAGGGCAGGCCTCCCGTCCACCTGCTCCTGGGCTTTGTGTTGCAGACGGGCCCCTCCCAGATCCCTGGCAGGGCCCAGCAGGAGAGACCGACGTGGAGCGCCAGCCTGGTGAGTGGGCGCCAGCCACCTGGCCTCAGGGCACCAACCGCCCTGGCTTGCTGGGTCCCCGGGGTGGGCCGGGGTGGCGGCGTCGGGGAGTGCCTTCGATGAGGCGGCCACAAGCGCTCTCTCTCAGAGCCGGAGGAGGAGACAGAGCAGCCCACGCTGGACTACAACGACCAGATAGAGCGGGAGGACTACGAAGACTGTGAGTAGGACCCTGCCCCCCCACCCAGGCCCCGCCGGCCCCGCCTCCCCGCCTGGATCCCACCCCCGGCCCCCGGAGGCCCCACCCTCCCTGGCCTTGGCCCCAGCTCCGAGCGCCCCCCTCTCCCCCAGTTGAGTACATCCGGCGCCAGAAGCAGCCCAGGCCGCCCCCCAGCAGGAGAAGGCCGGAAAGGCTCTGGCCCGAGCGCCCCGAGGAGAAGGCTGAGCCTCCCGGGCTGGGGTTCGAGGCCCCGGAGGAGAGGATAGGTAGGATGCGGGCAGACTTGGGGGGCGGGGTGCCAGGCGAGGGGGCTCCGGCTCAACCCTGCCTCCCACCTCCACAGAGCCGCCTCTGAAGCCGCTGCCACCCAACTATGGGGACGGCTACGTGATCCCCAACTACGACGACAGTGAGTGCCTAGGGCCCCTGCCCTCTGCATCCCAAGGTCGGGCTGCCTGTGCCTCCAGCTTGGTGGGAGTTACCTGGCCACCCTCTCCGGCCTGGCTGCCCTCCCCTGATCTCCTCTCTCAGGCTGGGTCTTCCTGGCTCCCAACTTCGCTCTTCCCCCCATCGCCCTGAGCCCCAGTGGGCTTCACTCTCGGGCCCTCTGAGCTCCGGTCCTGGCCACCTCGCCCCTCGTCCCTCGGGACTCCCATGCCGCCTTCCGCTCCCGGCCCCTTTGGACCCCATTCCCCTCCTCCTGGCCTCGGTCCCCATCAACCCCTTGGCCCCAGCTCAGCCCTCCAGACCCCCCTTCCTGCCACAGGTGCCAGTCGTCCTTCGGGGCATGTCCGATGTCCGTGCCCCACTCCCTGCCCAGCCTTTCCCCACCTTTCTCCGGGCCACGCCCTGCGGGGGCGCCAGGCTGGTGACTTCCTCGGGGTCTCGCTCACCCCACCTGTGCCCAAGCAGCCTCCCCCTCCAGGAGGACCCTCCCTCCTCGTCTCAGCCCATCTGGACTCTTTAAGGCCCACCCTGATCTCACCTCCTCACCTTGTGCACCGCGTGCCCAGTCCGGCCCACTGGGCTCCTGTGAACCTAGGAGCCCCGGCTCGTGGTGGGCCATCTCATCAGGGCTCTCCCTCCCCACAGTGGACTATTACTTCCGGCCTCCCAGGCCCCAGAAGCCTGACCCTGGCCTGGAAACAGATGAAGAGAAGGAGGGCCTGAGTGAGTGGACCCAGGC